TACGGGAAAAACCGTGAAACCATGCAACCAGCCAGTTTGTCAGTTTTCGAGCTCAGGCCTAACTACTAATATTTAGCAGTCTTGTTTTCGGGCCTGTCGTAAGCCGTGACAAAAAAAAAAAAAGCCTTTTTTTTTTTTTTTTTCTTTAATTTTGTTTTGTTCTGTTTTTGTGACACCTTCTGAGTCTTAAAAAAAAATCTATTTCTAATTAAACACTAACAATATAAAACGTACTGCGCCTAAAATGCGTTAGGCGGAAAACTACTCTTATTTATTGAAAATTTTAATGCGATTATTATAAACACGAATTTCATGGGTATTTTAAGAGGCCACCACGCTTAATCGCCAAAATTGGAAAAACTTAATTACTCAACATGGAAAGGGCAAATTTCAAATATCGCCAATGATTTATGTAGTGGCTGCTTTAACAAGGAAGTGCCATTTCATTCAAAAGAAAAAAAGATACGCGTATTATAAATGTATGTATTTCATCATTATCCACCGGTGGTTCAGGCGGAGTGAATGTGGCCATCACTAATAAAGCTAAATTTTCCAAAGCACGGGTCACCGGTCAACAATATTGGTATAAATGACGTATTTATACGTCACAAATAAATTACATGTAAGGTATTTTATATATTACATGTCACAGCTTTGGGAAATTCAATTATATATTTCAATTATCATTTCATTGTTCTTTTTAGTGTTAAAAAATTAATTGACGAGAACAAAAAATCAATTAAAATTCGTGTGACGGAAATTATGTTAAACATAGAATAATGAGTGTATGGCCTAATTAAAATATACTATTTCAAATCCAGTACAGGCGGCAAATATCCGTCACTTAGCCGAAGAGAAATTGAAGCATCACTGCTATTCCCAGCGTGCCGATGAAATCACAGAATGAAATTTTAGATAGGTTTAAGTATAGTAAATATGTGCACGGAGGGTGTTAAAAATATCAAATGAATTATGCATAATTATACATAACACATTAGTTAAACATAACCAATTATGCGTAATATATATGAATAACTGCGGATAAATAACGATACATTACATTAACATAAATTAATATACACTATTATAACACTGCTGCTTTATCCTTAGCTCATTTTACTACCATCTTAACAGAAAAATGGATCATCTAAAAATTGATGCACGAATTTCATATCTGAAATATGTACTAAGCACTGATAAATGTGTAATAGCTTTAAATTAAGCCTATTTTCGGGAATAATTTTTTAATGTTTAATGTGACGTTACTAGATTAAAAGAATGATATAAGCATGGACAAATTTCATTTGAAAATTCTTTTAACGCAAGTTTTTTTTTTTTTTTTTTTTTTTTCCAGCGTTTCTTAAAAGGTACACTATTATGTTGTTATCAACAATTTCCTCAACAGTATGTATAATTCTTATTATACAGTTTGCTTCACTCATATATAATGTATAATTGAACGATAACAGATTTTTTTCTCGCAGAATTGGCAACGCTCATAGAATTGCAGTATGCTAGTCGGCATGCTTGATTAAATGCTCCTGCGTAACGCAGTGTGAGGTGAAAACTAAAAATATTTAACTATAGACGATTCGGGCACTCAAAGTACCCAAAAAATAAAAAATAAAAATTTAAAAAAAAAAAAAAACCTTAAAAGTTTAAATTACACCCAAAGAGGCTTTTTTTTTTTATATTTTGTGTGTTACCTTTATTATTAAATATCGTGTTCTTCGCACTTAAACCATAAAATTCAGTTCAAGAGCAATATCGCAAAATAATTTTTAAATGAGCACATCCTTTAGAATTTCCGATGCACAGTCTCGCGCGCTGGAGATAAAAGTGTTTTTTGTGTACAACTGCCATTGCTCGCTTTGAAATCCTTGAGTTTGTTAATCAAAAATTCGTTAAAGTTTTACAAAATATGAAATCGTAATAAAACAAATTCCAAATTTCGGCTTCCACATGCCCATATTCGCAGGAGAATTACTTTATTCAAAATTTGATGGCTCTAGGTACCGTTGTTTTATCACAATGCGAGAAACATACATACATTTATGCAGAGTCTTCATTATTTAATATCTTTAAACATAATACAGGGCGATAATATTTGGTGGCAACAATTTGAAAAGTGAAACAACGCAAAATGCCAGAACGAAATTAATAGTCCTTCTAGGCAAAGGCCTCTTTGGACTAACAAAATAACGCCTTTAGGAGTAGACCATAGCAATTAAGGTTAATGACCCGAGAAAATAATTATATATTTTCCTCCCTTCATAACTAAATTATTTGTAGGAAACTGGGTCTGATTCTCTTACACAACATAATACAACCTGCTCAATTTTTTTTTTTTCGCAAAAACGAAATAATTTAAGCGTATCCATTTACTTTTTAACACTCACGACCGTACCGCTCAAGAACTTCATCCTGTCTCCTAAAAAAAACTGAAGTATTCGATTGCGCTTAACAGAAGAAAAATTAATTTTGAAGGATGGGAAAATACAACAAAGTCTGCAATAACATTCTGTTTGTTTTTCAATTAAATTACGCGTACTCCGTACGCCCTTAACGAAGTGCCGCATGGCGCCCATAAGCGGGGAGAAGGGGGAGGGAAGACGACCGCTCGTAGCGTGACTTTTAGGAGACGACAATAGAAACACAGGGCAACTTTTGGCATCTAGCCAAAAATGGAGCATAACGTACTGTTTTTTAATTTTTGTTCTTTATTTTATTTTTAATGCGGACATATAAACTTAGAGCTAAGGTCATATCCCGGGAAAAAAAAAAAAAAAAAAAAAAAAAAAAAAACAAGAAGAGCGGAGAAAGGGAAAAAAAAAAAGTGTAGAAGGATAAGCAGGAAATAAAAAGTTCTGTCACTTCATTTCCAAACCTTTATTCAGCTCAATTTCCTAATCAGATTTCTCCTATCACAGCTTTGTGAGTGGAAATTGCTAACTGTGTTAAGAGGGAACTTGAAAACGGCGAAAATCGTTCATAACATTTCTTTATAACCCTCTTTAACGGTGACTTGATTCGTTATCTTTGCATTAAACCTCTGCGTTAGAAAAGTAAGACCATTGTTTTTTAAAACTTTGTAATTTATATATATATATATATATATATGATAAGTCAGAATATTGTAAGTTGGTAGTTTCAGTTGCCTTGAAACAGCGTTTTTGATAACATCGAATAGAATCAGTTTAATTCAGTAAAATGACGTTCTTATTGAAGAGTGAGCTTTTCAGCGATTTTAATTATCTTTTTCAACTTTAGAATTGTTTATGTTAATTAAAGGAATGAAATTTTGATTAATTTTGATATTTCAACGCTGTGAAACAAATTTTCGAGCGCTTAGACTGAAATTGAAATTCTAGAATATTCCATATATGCTGTTACCTTGATCGGTATAGTGTTTAACAATCCTGCGTGTCGTATCGTTGGGCCCGACTTTGAGTGCCAAACCTTGGGTGTTTGTAAGTGTACGGTCTATGAATGTCACTGAGGCACTTAAAATACGACAAGACGAAAGCCCTCTGGAGAGGGTTTGGTGGTGGAAGACCCTTGGATCCGTCCCTTCGGGGGATCCTCCCTAGAAATTGGAACGAGGCTGCTGGGTAAAGTCGTATTGTCAAGGTGCCCAAGGCCGATGCCAACTACACAGACGATCCTGCGCTCCTCACCACAGTAAAATTTGTAGACTTATTCTAATGTTATTGTCAGACAAGTGGAATAATTCACCACAGCAACAACATAAATAATGCAGAAAGTTCACTGCATTATGATACATTACAGTTAGCCAACGGGCAATGATTTCTAGAGCAAGTTTACGCACACAATAAAATCAAACAAAATTTTTGATGTTATGTATTTAAATTTTCATATCACCATCAATCAATTTTAATATTTTTAAAATTAACATCCTACTTTAACTATTCAATTTTCCACATGAAATTGCATTGCCTATCAATTAATAAATGAAAAACTTTTTGTTAGTTATTTTCGAAAAAGTGCAAATAAAACACATTCTGTGTATTAAAATGAGTTTATTTTTTAACTACCTAAAAGCAGTAAATCCAAAGCAATTTTATTCAATAATTTAAAATTCAAAAATTAAAACGACGAGCTGTTCAGTTAATTTTCCTTTGTTTTTAATGACGCAAGTATAATAAATTTCAAAAACTAATACTGACTTGACGATTACTAAAAATAGAAATATACAGAATAACTAAGGAAACCTCTTTTTTTTGGGGGGGGGGAAGCCAAATAAAATTTTTTACTAAAATTGTCTGAATAGTTTTCTTTAAAATTAATGTAATTTTTTTTTGAAAATTTTAAAATTTTTATTCAGAAATACCCACTTTTTTATATAAAAAATAATATTCATATTCTTATCTCTGAAAAAAAGTGCAAACAAGAAATGCTACCAAAATCTTCAGACTGTTACACATATGATTACTTCTTAAATTCGATATAATTGGCTCATCTTCTCTCATTTAAGCACGCAACGGTACACCATTTAGTGCATTTCGCATTCCCCTAACCACTAAAACCACGAAAAATAAAATAAAAAAATATATATCCAATTTTCAACGTATCAGTTTTATTTTTTTAAAGTAAATAGCATACTTTTGTAAGTTACTAAGAAACAGAAAAGACTACATTATTTGACGTAGATTCTAGATTTCTCTAGATTCACTCTAGATTTTTTTTTTTTTTTTAAAGTACATGATCACCACACCAACTATATACATAATTTGACGACTACAAACGAAACGAACTACAAACCAATGGCTAACTGAAGGAAACGTCCTTTCTTTTAATTAGGACGTTTCAAAAACTGCATATTAATTTAATGGAAAGCGGAATTTTAAGCATTTTCCCTTCTCCGGAAAGAAGTATCCGAATAATCAACGGTAACTAAATATTGGTGTTATCCGAGAGGCAACCTCCTGTACTAAATTTCAAGGTCATAGCTGAGTGCAGCAACAATCGGGAATACTCACCAAAAGAGCGCGTAGTTGGCGGCTCTGTCGTCACAACAGAGTGTGCGGAGGGCAGGAAGCAGTTCCATCAATGATCGGGTGTGGATGCATGCGTGTGTGTGCCAAGGAGCCGGTCTAAGGAGGGTAGATACCCCAGCCAGCCAAGGCCCCGAGCTTCGCAAAGTCATTCAAGGTCATTTGGAACCAGTACTAGGTAGTAGGGCTGGTTCTTTCTTTCGGAAGAACTACTACGTAATCGTCTGCTGTGCGTCATTTCGTTCACAGCATCACACGTTTTGCTTTCATTATCCAAATCGCTACATACTATGCTATGCGGCGGGATACCCATGCTGCAGACTTCGATATTGATTTCAACTTTTCCAGACACGAATTGGTGACTGGGGAAATAGCACTCCTCAGCTGGAATCGTTCTGCAATTAAATTTGACTTGCCATCTCAAAATAATTCCTGCTTGTCGTCTCATTGACTGGAATGTACCCAAGTCTGAGGAATAAGAATATTCAGGAAATTAAAATTGGGATACTTCTTACGTCGAAAATACTAAAGGTGCTCATGATGTCCTGGAGGGAAATTACTTTTGCAGAGCAAAAGTATATATTTCATAATAACGAAAAAGCGCGAAGTAAAAGTTTTCACAAAATTGTCCTTTTCTTCATCAGTGAGTGGCGATTAAGATAGAACGTCTGAACGTCTGACTGCCATTGGTTTAGAGTATCCGCAGGCCTCATATTGTAGTATTAGTCTTAACACCTGGCTCTGAAAAAAAAATTGATTTTTTTTAATGATAAAAAATATTTACTTGTGCAAAATAGGAAAGCTAAATAATTTTACAATTTTCTCTTTAAATAAAAATTATATATTTATATGGTTTTTCATACTATATAAAACAGGGTATTTACCGTTTAAATAAAAATTTCTGAACAGTAAAGGAGAAAAAAAGGGTAAACGAAATGGGGGAAAGTGCAGAATCACCCACTGCTTGGCGCGTTTTTAAGAATTGCACATACTCGGTATCCATGTACACATCGACCTATTTTCACTAAAAAAAAAAAATATCCCAGAATTGCACAAAAATGGCACTGCGCACTCCCTTGACGTTATCCATGTATACATCGACCTATTTTCACTTAAAAAGTCAAAGAAAATTGACAAAAATCCAATTCTTCTTACTCCTGTAAAAAGCGCCAAACAAATAAGTGGGCGATTCTGCCCTTTATCCACGAAATGTATAGTAGAGTATAATCTATTGTCGATTACAAAATTCTATTATGATCATTAAGTTCATTTTCGTTGGATGTAAATTTAGTTAATGTACTTATTTAAGCACGAAATTCTCAAGAGAGAGATTTTTCAGCAGTTATCCCTAATCTTCTCGCTATTACTTCTCCCAGCGATCATATTAATACAATTAATATCATTTCGAAACCGTCTATTTATTTAAAGATTAAATTACTTTTGAAGTATTTATTTATTAGGCCGTTGAAACCTTAAAACAATTGATAAAACATTCAGCAATTTTTAAGCGGATAAAACAGTTATTAAATACATTAACACGTTAAATAATGGTAAAATGAAAACATTTGCTGTCTTACAAGTAGCATCACAATAAGCAACTACAAATATAAAATTTTGTATATAGTTTTCGCGCAATATAAATATTAATTTTCAAATAATTTTCCACTGAAATTTTCAGTCTCAATTTCATAATCCAGTACTTTTTACAGTATCTCGATAAAAAATACAACTCTGATTAATGACAATTTAAATTAAAAATAGTTCATTTACATCATTGAAATCAGTATTTTATTCCTAGGTTCACAGATTAAAACCATTATCCTCACAAACATGACATACTACATTACAGAATATTACATCAATTGTCAAACCCTCCACTTTTAATAATTAAGTTTATTTTCACAATTACCGATTGATTTAGATATAACATACGGCATTTACTCGAAAATAAGATCCCCCCTTTTTTATTTTTATTATTTATTTATTTATTTATTATTTTTTTATGCTATATTTTTGTTCTCAAATTTGGAAGGGTTTTATAAGCAGGTGTTTTGACAAGTGAAACTGCAAAACGAGAATGCAGAAGCAGTTTAATTATCATACTTCATTGAATTATTACACTGTTTAAATTATAAATAAACTATATGGGTAGTTATTAATTATCGTATATAACATATATAAATGCATAACTACCGCTAATTTATAATAGCTACATCTAGCTAATTAATCTGCTATACCGATAACCCTGCAAAATATACATTATAAGAATGTATTTACCACTAATTGTGTACAAGGGCCACAGCTTATGAATAGGATAATAAATAGGCTAATAAACTAAGAATCTCTTACTCGAAATTACTGCCAGCCAAAAAAATTATTCACCTACTTTTTTATTCCTTAAAATTTATCTCGAAAGTTAAAGATGGCCTTATATTGAACGAGGTCTTATTTTTGAATAAATAAGATACTTTCCGACAGATTTCGTACAATTATTATTCGATAAGAGGGCAATTGTAACGCCTAATTACGTTTAATAAAATATAAAAGACACGTATCTCTTAAAAAGAAAAAGTTACCATGCACTTAATTTTAAAAAACAAGCGAATTTCCCATATGTAAAGACTTAATGTTCCCCATCAGTGCAATCGATCGTGAAACACTCATTTAAACTAAAAACATTTCTACTAAAAGGCGTGGATCTGTGACATATGTGAAACCCCGCGTAAACCATTGTTTTTAAATTACAACCTTTAGCTACAAAATATTTCCCAGAGGGCGGGAAGAAAGCGATACGTTTCTGTTCGACACGAGGGCGAAAATTTAGTGAAGTATATATGTACATATATATGTTTGTAGAGAGAGGGAAAAAAAGAGAGATAAAAAAAAAAAAAAAATAGATTTCCTTTTCATATGCCCGCGAAGCTAATTTAAACCAAAAATAAATTCCCCCCTCCCACAGTGCCTCCCCCGGGCTTTAAATAAGTAAAATAAAATAAAAATAAAACTTCGGAAAGCAGAAAGTGCCAAGGCTTGGCAACCGACCCGAGGAAGGTGTTATTCACTAGGAGAGGGCAACCTGCGGGATTTCCGGCGAGGAAACAGACGATTTTGGAAGCTAGGGCGGGTGCCTCTCTCTCCCCTCTGAGTTCAGGGAGCGGAACGAACGCTCGCCGGCACACGTGTACAAATATAAAAAAGTAAACAAAAATATAAAAATACTCTACTTTGAACGCAATCAAAAATATTTTATCTCTTTCCTTCCGTAAATTTTTTTGTGCGTCCCCCTAGTCCAAGATTGAAGAGCCGAAATCAAGGGCGTGTACAAGGTTTTACTTTTTATAGGGGGTGGTGTCAACTTTTTACATGGCGCAAATATAACCGCGCTTGATAAATGCCTCTCTCTCTTTACGAAAGAAAGGGAAAGTTTATTTTTGTTTATCTTTTCGTAATTTTCTAAATTCCTTTTATTTATATATTTTGAAAGAAATGTGCATTTGCAAAAGCCTTAATTTTAAGCTAATAATAGTGGCTTAAAATATATATGTCTTGCGACATTTACAGAATTTAATTTAATTTTTTTTTTTAAAGTAACTGCGATTGCCAGATTTTGCTTCGACCGAATTTACGTCTGAGGCTTCAATTATTTGAGGCAATAACGGGATGCTAGTTTTGCCTTTTAATACGCCACAGAACCGAGGCTGTTTGCATGGATTAAAACAAATAGCGTTACATTTTTAAGGGCATTTCTGCCCACCAATAATGAAAATAAACTGAAGAAAGGAATATACTTTTTGGAAACTTTGTACCCACCTGGCCGTATAAGCCTGGTGTACACTGCTAGTTCGACCATCATTCCCAATACTGTTCTTTTTCGGTGGTATTGCGAATGCGAGCAAACTACTCTCAGAAAATGTGTAGAATTTTTAAACTCTTTTATGCTGGAAACACGAAAAATCAGCAATGCCCTCGCTAGGATTCCAACTCTAGATCTTCCGATTGCCAGTCGGATGTGTTTTTCAGTAACATTACAATGGCACGTGATAAGCAAAGAGAAAACTCCTTACATTCAACCCCACTTTAAGAATGACTGGGAAACAGGGGATCTTGTTGCCAAATTCTGGTGCAGACGAATTACCGTCCACAACATTTTAGTACTTATACAGGTACAGCTTGAAGCAAAGCCGGCACTGTGCATTGAAGGACGCATATTACGCATCACCGAGCCTTGCCAATCGATAAATTTCAGGCCCAGATGGAATTCAAAGGAGAACACCCCAGAATGCGGGCCAAGAATCGCCAATCTCTATTTCCCTACCAGCAACCTTACAAGAGGATTTCGGCTCGCCATGTATTTTGGATACCCCCTTGACGCACAGACATTATACGCTAATAAACATCCATATCTATTTCTGGATTCGGACCGGGCCCTTCGGTAGAGTAGTCAGCGTCATTAAACCCTATCCCGTCTGGACGGCGAGTTGCTTGTACGTTCATCAGTTTCATTTCGAAGCAGGAAACATAAAAATTCTGCGATGGGATTTGAAATCTGGACCTGGAAATTGCTAGCCAGACGTGCTTTCTAATTAATGCACGAGGTAAGGAGGGAGGAAATTCCTTACAGTTTTCCACAATGCATCCCTTCCCTTGCACAAGATAGCGTAAGAATGCTTTACCAAAGTTCCCACTTTGGAAGTTTTATATCCAACAGGAAAACTGACTTCTGTAAGATCATATTATTACAGTTTAAGGATTCAGTTATTATTATATATTATTACAGATTAACTATCCAACTTTGAAACACGATTTAGAACTAGTAATAACAACCAGAAATTTTTTTCGATGAAATTCCCAGCAAACACGTACATTTTTCGACGAACTTTTGAAGTGGTACACTTTGCAGATTACGTTCGAGTGAAATCACAGGGAAAATGCTGCCTGGTACTTACTTTTCAGCCTAAGTAAATGGCTTAATACCGATTTAGTCTACTCCCAGCTCAGTCTTGACAATTTTAAAGTGTCAGGTGACAAATGAGCTTTACACGGAAATTTTCACTGTATTTCTCACTCAATTCTGAGAATTCCAGCTGAGCCTAAGTCGGAAATATTCGCCTAATCATTATTTATTGACTCAGCATGGGTTTATTCCATCACCTTGCATAAATAAAAGAAGGCAGAGTCGATTTTCTGAACAAAATAATATGATTTTAAATCACATTTACATTACTACGACGTTATTACGCTTAAAAATAATGTTACATAGTTGTTTTGATTTCAATTTTATTTAAAATTATTTTACGACTGGAGGAGTTTTACGCATTTCAGTGAGACACCATGAGGCGATAATTTACTACCGTGGTTTCAAAACTGTAACCATAAACAAAGTTTTCTGATAATTTTGCGGGTTTAAAGTTACTTATGTTAACTTCATCCTTTTTGCTATATTAAGGTGAGCGCTTTATTTTCAAAAATTTTGAAACACAGTTTTTAATACCTCTAAGCATTTTCAAACGAATGCTCTTCTTCCGTTACCTTTGGAATGCTTATTTTATTCCTTCGCCTATAGCACAGCTATGTTTAAAACATGGCTATTTTAGATTATTTGAGTATGTCAAAGCACACGAGGACTGTCTGCCTAAGGCGAGAGATGCTTAGGTAGGACTTTTTCAGACAAGCTGCCTCGCATTCACGTTACACTTGAGGAAAACCGAGGGTACTTTTCCGTTTCGCCGGCGCAAATCTCG